CAACACGTGACCACTTTTTCCCATTGTTGCATGATTTCATTATGCTGGTCACTGCGGCATACTGTAGTGCACCATATTGTGTTGCTCTCTTCATCACAACACGCAACACTTTGTGCGGATCGGGAAAAGCACGTGCCAACCTCAGAATTGCATGTGCCCACCCTTTCGTAACTGGTCCACCCGCCGCCTTCGAATCATAGTGTACATCATGTTCCTCGTCTTCCTCGTCGCTGCTGACATCGCTGCTGCTCACTTCCACGTCAGAAGATGATGCCCCCTCATCCTCTTCTTCATCTTCTTCTTCTGCACTGTCTGTGTACTCTGCACAACAACTTGGCCAACCGGCCTCTTCAAATTCACGATCACACTGTTCTTTCTCAATTGTGAAAGCATTGAAGATATCGGAACATACTACCTCCTCTCTCGTTGCTCTCTGCATGGGAGGCACATCGACTGCCATACTGGTTATTGATTATTGTGCTGCTGATGTCTGTCCGTTGTGTGGAATGATTGCTAAATTTGTGTCCGTGGCCATCACCTTTCACCCTTCTTCTCTTTCTCTTTATCTCTCAACATCGCAACTTGCAAGACCGAGCCGCTCCGAAGCAGCCGATAACAACTCCCCCCACAACGGTCTACCAGATATGATGTTGTCTTCTGTTATTGCTGGCACAAATTCTATCAGATCTTGACCCTGCATTGCAAACTCTGTCACTTCGTGCAACGCCTCATGGATGACGTTCCTGTCGTCGACACTCTTTTTCATGGAGTCAAGAAGTTGATCCAACATAATATATTCCACACCATCTGCAACAATGACAAGAACATCTTGAAAGTCTTCTGGCGGTGTTTGTGTAATGTCCTCCATTCTGGACAACACCAAGATTTCTGCAGCACTACTCTTCAACTCGTCCTTCGACCCATCAACCAGCATTCCCCCATTCCGTGCCACAGTGCCCAGCAACTTGCCCAAGTTCGCAGGTGTTTATGTCCCCCCTGCCTGCTGCATTGTCATGTCCATGTCTCCTTCTTCGCACATCCCTTCGCTGCACATCCACTGGACCACTCCTTTTAGACTGTATGCACTGTCTTCGACATCGTTGTCCACACGTACATGTGGTGACTCTCTGAAGCGTTGCATGAGTGTTCGTGCTTTGACACAGCCCTCGCCGTTTGCCATGATTGTGGATCTCATATCCATAACGACTATGAAGTACCTCGACACCCTGTCCTGAAGCAAAGACAACTCGCTGTCACCGTTGTAGTGGACGCCCTCCTTTGCATACTTCATTACCTCTGCAAGAGCGGCCTCCGCCTGTGCTACTGACATGGACATGATGCGTACGGTTTGTCTTTCGTCCTGTTCTCTCTGCCAGCGGAAACGCACAATGACGTCATCGACATGTGTGTGTGTGTGTGTGTGTGTGTGTGTGTGTGTGTTTGACATCTATGTATGAACCTATGTGGATGTCTATGTGTCTTTCTGTATATGTCTATGGATGTGTGTGCATGAATGGTCTGGTCGTGTGTCTGCATGTCTGTTCCCAAGTTGGCTACTGCGTGTCATTCGAAGTCGCAACGGTAACCATTCGTCAGTTTCTGGCACACAGTAGCCAACTTTAAGGGTGCATCCCAGATGTGTGTGTGTGTGTGTGTGTGTGTGTGTGTGTGTGTGTATTTGTGTGTGTGTGTGTGTGTGTGTCTTTCTATATATGCCTGTGTGTGTGTGTATTGTTATGCGTGTTTGCTTGTGCATGTGTTAACGTGTCCGACTTCAAGTTGGCTACTGCGTGTCATTTGAAGTCACAACGGTAATCATTCGTCAGTTTCTGGCACACAGTAGCCAACTTTAAGGGTGCATGCCAGAATGTGTGTGTGTGTGTGTGTGTGTATTTGTTATGCGTATTTGCTTGTGCATGTGTTAGCGTGTCCGACTTCAGGTTGGCTACTGCGTGCCATTTGAAGTCACAACGGACCTGTGTGGGTTGTGTATGACACGCAGTAGCCAACTTGAACGGTGCACGCCAGAATGTGTGTATGTGTCGGTGTGTCTGTGTGTGTAATACTCTTCACCCACAACAACCCTTGTTCGAACCAGACGAGTACATACGTAGGAGATAAATATGTAAATGGCAAAAGGTATGACTAGCAAAGGGCAGGAGGGAGATGAGGGGCGAGGTACGTACGTCATTACAGTAGGAAATAAAGAAAGAGAAAGAAAGAGAAAGAAAGAGAAAGAAAAAAAAAGAAAAAAAAAAAAAA